CCCCCTGCCCCCTGCCCCCCCTGCCCGCCACCCACCCCTCCCTGGGACCACTTGGGCTGGCCGGTTTCCTCTCCTTGCCTCCTGGTCTGTGGTTTGGAAGTCTACCCTGAAGCACTGCTCTTCCGAGAGCCTGCGCCCAAGCAAACCTCCCCAGCGCCTCCCCCTCTACAGCGGGACCCCAATCCTGAGAACTTCGCAATGGGGCCGTCTTCTTTTCCCGTCTTTACATCTTATCCCTTCTCCTCTAGAGCCTCGTGGCCCACGTGGATGGTCAGTGTGTGCAAGTGAGTGAATTATCACCTTTAAAAAGTGCACAAGCTTCTCTGCTAAATTCCGTCCTGCCCCGCGGGATGACTCATTGTTTCAGAAAATTCTCCAGCTTATCGGAGGAAGAAGGAAAGAATTTGAATGGATCCTGTGGGTTAGAAAGGAGGTCCCAGGGAAGGCGAGGATCCAGGTTTTGTGGGTGAAAAAGATAAAATTGGGGGGCCCTCTTGAAAGAATACAAAAATAAGTTATTTTGCTAATCTTACAAAAACACATGATGTCGTGCATGCATTTCTAGGCCCCGCCGCCCCCAACTTGAAAGGGCCCCTGAAGTGTAAGTTTTACTGGCCTCTCAGTAATTGCGCCTTTACCTCCCCCACCGTCCTGGCACTGAGTTCAGCTGCCATGTGAGGGGTGCCAGATGCCCGGTGGGCAGGCAGGTGGGAGGGGACGGTACTTCCTGCTGGAAGTCCCTGAGTTAGGACACCTCCCAGCTCCCCACCCCCACGCATAGCCTTTTCTCGTGTGCCACTCAAAGTGAGGGAATCCACCTGGACAGTCTGCATCTTCCCACCATCTGTAGATGGCCCTCATTCTCAGGCACAGGTGTGGACGAGGGACGCCCACAGCACAGAGCTCACCTCGCAAAGCAAAGCCCCTCCCCCACAGACTGAGGCAGGCAGGAAGACCCCTGGGACGGTCACTTCCCTAAATCTCCCCCATCCTCCCCAGCCTGTCTGCTCTGCCCAGCCTGGCACCTGAGGGCACGGGCGCAGTCAAACATCCTGCTGCCTAAACCGCAAAGTGTGTCTTCCTGCCCAGACCACCGACAGGCCATGAAAGAGGGTGCTTAGGTCTTAGATTTGAAAAAAGTAATCAGACTGTGCATATGTGTGTATACATAAGTGGATTCCACTCACGATAAACAAGGCTTCTTTTATAGTAACCAAACAGAACACAATACATATTCTCCGAGAAGTACCTATCTTTGTCCATTTTCATAATAAGGTGACAGTTTGTGGGACATAGTTATTGCAAACATTTTCCCAGTCTGTAGTTTTGGTTTTAATACGGTTAATGATGCTGACTATGTAAATTTCTCCTCAAATGTATATAGTTTTTCACTAGGCAGTTCCTGCCATTGCTTAGAAGTAGGCACTTAGCTTAGAAAGATCACTAACGTTTTATTCTTTCTTTTCTGTTAAGGTTCTTGCACTTATTTATTTCATATAGAATTTACCCTGTTGTGTGCTGTGAAGGGAGGACTAGTTATAGTTAGCTAGTTGTTGCATCTGCTGGCCAACCTGCTTCCAAGGATGGGAGATAGCATCTCGGACTTGCACTGATCGCAAACAGAATCTGTCTCTGGGCGTTTCCACGGGTTCTTCCTCCAACCCCAGATAGTTTTAACTACTTAACCTGCATCACTGGAATGAGATGGGGCTTGCACTGATGACACATTGCAGGGACCGTATGGCAAGGACCTCTCCACTACTCTTGTTTTTTCCTGCAAATTACATTGGTAATTCTTGTCCATCATTCTTCCAAACGAATTTTGAATCACTTTATCCAGTCCCTTCACAGCGCACTGGACTTTTAACTGCAGTCGCCTTACATGCATGAGCTCATGTAAGAACTGACACCTTCACAATAGCCAGACTTTGGAAAGGGCAGGAACTCTCCTGGGAGCTTCAGGTTCTGACAATCAGAAGGTAGCCCAGGAGAGAAGCGGCAGCTGCCAGGACTGTGGGGGGCACCACCCCCTTGTGTGGGATGGAGGTATTGAAACCCTTCAGTCCCCAGGGCTGGACCCACTGGGCCTTCAGACACTCACGGAGTCACAGATGCAGCTCAGGTCTCGGATCCCAGCCCAAGTTCCTGTCCCA